TTTTTATGTGTTTGGAGGGTAGTTTTTCATTTGGTTTTGTGGAAGTTGTTTTGGTTTGGATTTTGTTTGGATTTGGTTTATGGTTTTTTGAGACAGGGTTTCTATATAACTGTCCCGGCTATCCTGGAACTCACTTTGTAGACCAGGCTGACCTCAAATTCACAGAGATCTACCTCACATTAGGCCTCCATTTTCTGCATTGCTCTCAATATTCTTATCTTTGAAGTTCCCACAGAAAAGCTCACCAAGCTCTGAACAGTCAATGGTTTTTCTAGCCCAAAGTTCCAAAGACTTTTCACAATCCTCCCCGAAACAAGGTGAGGTCTGTCACAGCAGTACCCCAGTCTCTGGTACCAACTTGTCTTAGTTGGAGTTACTAGTGCTGTGATGAAACACCATAACCAAAAGCACCTTGGGAAGGAAAGGATGTAATTTTCTCCCAGCTCTATATAACAGTTCATCGTCATCAAAAGCAGTGAGGGTAGGAACTCAAACAGGGCAGGAACCTGGAGGCAGGAGTTGATGTAGAGAGTGCTGCTTACTGGCTTGCTCCTCATGGCTCTTTCAGCCTGCTTTCTTATAGAACCCAGGACCACGAGAATGAGGTACCACCAGAGTGGTACCACCCACAGTGGCCTGAGCCCTCTGGCACAAACCACTAATTAAGAAAACACTCTACAGTCTTGCCTGCAGCCAGCTCTGATGGAGGCATTTTCTTCGGTGAGACTACCTCCTCTCTGATGACTCTGACTTGTGTCCAGTTGACTAAAAGTAGCCAGCATGTGCCCTTAAAGAGTTGTTAGAATACTCCAGATCCATAGAAAATGAGTCATATAGGGTCCCTGTGACTGTCAGTCAAGAAAACACAGTCTCTCACGGGCTACTAAGATCATGTCCAACATGTGACTGGGATATTTGGTTTCAATTGGGAAGAGGGCGACATACCTAATAAAACAGTATGAACAGAGAAAACAGACAGTGGTGTAAAATAATGAACCACAAATCAGCAATGTCAAGGAATCTAGATAACTTAATGCCTGGCATTCACCACCTAATTGTCCATGCCACTCCTGGAGCCAATGAGTAAGTTCTGGAAAGTTATGTAATCCGATTATCAAAGCAACATGAAGAAACTAGACAGAGTAAGAGCGATGCCCAGGACAGGGCTTTCCCATGGGTGTTCTGTGGCGTTCTCTAGACATGACTTATCATCCTTTTGCTTTCGCAACTCTGCTATTCCCTGTGAATATGTGATATAAGAACCAGTTATAAAGCCCAGAGCAAACCTTTCGATGGAAGGAGTTGACTTATGATCAGGCTGCGTCTCTCCTAGGAAACTCCACCTCCTATAGACATCATCCTACAGAAATCATCCTTGTCTGTACTGGACCACAAAGGCACAAGTGTACCCTATAAAGTAGACGGTCTTTATAGTTATAATTATAGGAAACTACGGCAGATACTACTTTTAAAACTTTCAGGTAGAGAAGGTTGCTCAATGGTTAGGTAAAACTGCTTCCTGCACAGTCTGAGAACCCGTGAACCCATGTAAAACAATGGATTCAGCTGCACACATCTGTAATCCCAGCACTCCGACAGTGAGACTGAATCAGCCAGAAGCTTAAGGACCAGCGAGCCTGGAGGACAGAGTGCATCAGTAAAAGTAGCAAAAGACCCTGACTCAGAACAGAGGAGGAAGATGAGAACCAACCCCCGGAAGTCATTCCCTGACCTCCACACGTACACAGAGGCATGGGAGCCATTGAACACATGTCATTACTCAATGCAAATGCAAAAGTCATTATTAGTTAATTAGCAAAGGCACCAAGGCGCCATACAATTTAAAAAATAAAAAATAAATGAAAAATCTTCTTTTTACAAATCGCCTTTAACTACAATTAATGAACCTCCCAAGCAGCGACAGTAGAATTAAAACACAATTCATCAGAAGAAAGACTCCTGAGATAAACACAGTGTTATAGCTCAAAGCGTTGGTAAATTACTTAAACGCCACAAAGAGTGAAAAGCTCAACCGACCACAGTTGAAACAGTAAGATCTGAATCAACCTCTTATCAGAATTCTATCTTAATAAAGATAAAAGCTTTTTCATGATCTACACAATATTGACTATTAGCTGCAAAGAAGCTTGGCTTGTTTATTCGAGCAAAGAACAATTTAATTCACAATTTCCTGTGTGCTCGATTCTCATTCAAAAGTTTCACAGCCATGAATTAAGCTTTAAAATTTGTAATGTGCCTGTTTAATTTTATGTTTGGTATGAAGTCTTCTGTAATTTTCACAGGGTATTACCCACAATCATTCCCGCAACTCTCCACTGTTCAGAGCCTCTCTGGGCTAGTGGAACCTGGCCTGATTTCCGTAGAATTTGTCATTCAGCCTCAAAACTCTCAGAGACCACCAAATGCAATCCCAGGGCTCAGAAAAGAAGCTGAGTATCCGAGACACTTTAGCTGTCAACTGGCTATGCTTGAAAATCAACTAGACAAGTCAGAATGAAGATAAGATGATACCAAACACCCGACTTGCTGTCCATTTCTCAGGAGAAAGGCGGCTTCGAGTAAGCAGCCTGGACAGGTAGTGCCACCTACTGGTCAGACGAGGTAGAAAACAAAGAAACAGGGTTGACCCACCTGAGCCATGAAATGAGTACGGCTCACCTGAATGAATCTATCTGGAAGGGGGTTAATTCACTTTAATTTTTTATTATTATTTTACGCATCTGACGGGTTTGCCTGCGTGCCCGTCTGTGCACCACGTATGTGCCTGGTGCTCATAGAGGCCAGAAGAGGGCGCCAGATCCCCTACAACTGGAGTTCCATAAGGTCATGATTCACCGTGTGGGTGCTGCAAATCAAACCCAGGCACTCTGGAAGAGCGTCCAGTGTTCTTAGCCGCTGAGCCATCTCTCCAGCCCCGGGCTAATTCACTTTAAAAGACTAACCCAAACTGAGCAGTGGTGTTTAATCAAGAAAACTAAAGGAGCAATATGGTCGTATTCCACGGAACTTTAGAATGATCAGTTAAATGCCACTGACTCCAGCCCAGTCCACCTTCACACTCCAGAGCCCCAGTTAATTCAATAAGTACATCCTCTGACAAGCTGAATATTTGATCATCTGGGGGAGGAACGTCTTTTCTTTCTTTTTCTTTATTTGTTTGTTTGTTTGTTTTGTTCTATTTCATTCGTTTCATTTGAGGTTTAATATTGAAAACATCCTTTTTTGAATATTCCTTATTTATTCGAGGCAAAAAGCAAAATACTTTGTTCATTGTGTTCAAAATCAAGTACTCACTGTAGCTAGAGTTTTCCTGCCTTGCCCACAGTCAGGACAAATCTTTGTCACCCGCCAGTCCCACAGCCGCTCAGACCCAACCAAGTAAACACAGAGACTTATATTGCTTACAAACTGCATGGCCGTGGCAGGCTTCTTGCTAACTGTTCTTATAGCTTAAATTAATCCATTTCTATAAATCTATTCCTTGCCACATGGTTCGTGGCTTACTGGCATCTTCACATGCTGCTTGTCCTGGGGGCGGCTGGCAGTGTCTCCTTCTGCCTTCCTGTTCTTTCTTTTCTCCTCTCTGTTAGTCCCACCTATACTTCCTGCCTAGCCATGGGCCAATCAGTGTTTTATTTATTGACCAATCAGAGCAACACATTTGCCATACAGACCACCCCACAGCAACTCACAGTTGGAGTCAAATCAGTGAAACCATGAAATCACCTTAGGCAGGAAGGCCCGTCACATGTGTAAGGCCAGTCCTTACTCTCCAAGAAACAGCCCAGCCTTCATCTTCTTAATCTTCTCTTTGAAGTCATTCTAGCAAGAACTTGCTACAGCCATGACTACGCTGGTAAACACAAGTGCCAGGCTTAGTTATTACTGACTTCAGTTTTCGTAGCCTAAAGAACCACTGCGTCCAAGTATGGTTTCCATCCTAAAATCAATCATTTATCCATCTGAATCTACTCCCGGCTGGACCAGCCTCTGGGGGCTGCTCCTCCGCAGACAGTGAGAGCAGTTGGTTGAATCTACAACCTTGCTTTCTGGGCTCCCGTTCCCTAACAACTTCCCAAGTGACTTGTACATTTTACATTGTTCCCATAAAATATTAGCAGAACTAGCTTTGCAGATCTGAGGGATTACCTGAAGACTGGGTTCAAATCCTGGATTTGCCACTAGCCACGCATGTACCCTGGGGCAAGTGACTTAATTTCCCACAACCTATTTTCTTTAACATTGAAAATGAAGGTGGTTGCTAAGGACTGTGTGAGGTGGTTAACTGAGCAAGAAGTGCTTGCTGACATTCCTCATCAGTAACTGGGATAATCTTCAAGTTTACAGTTTCCTGTCGAGCAGCACTCAGACTGTCTTTAGCCGCAGATAGCCCACGGGCCACAGGTTGCACAAAAGCTGCTGAGATAACAAAAACGCCAGGAGTACAGAGAAGGAAAGCAAGGCCTGAGCACTCGCAACATCCCTGCCGCTCATTCAAACAACACTTAAAACCCTAAAACTGACAAAACGCCAAAGACACTTTAAACTTTCCAGATGTGTTCATTTTATGCGCCTGCATGTGTGGAAGTGCACCATGCACATGTCTGGTGTCCCCAGAAGCCAGAAGAGGGTTCGGATCCCCTGGAACTGGAGTCACAAATGATTGTGAGCCACCAGATAGATGCTGAGAACTGAACCCAGGTCCTCCTCCGCAGCAGGAAATGCTCTTAACTGCTCGATCATCTCTCCACCCTCAACTCCAAACCTTTTGATAACAAAAACTGATCCATCCCTTTTTTATGAAAAGGTTTACATTTTAAGAAAGTGTGCTTTGAACATAAGCCTTAGATTATAACTTACTTTTTGATCAACATTAAGTTTTGCATCTACAAGTAGAAATACACTAAATAATATATGCTAGGATAGTATCAAAATAATTTATTGTTTTATATATAGATCAATAAATCCAAAGCCAGACATTAAAGTATATGGTTTTTATTCTAAAATGTCTTCCCAATAAAGCAGAATGTTTTGTCTGACTCTATTCGATGCTATTGTATGACATACATTAGCAAATAGTTATATTTACCCAAAGCTCCTTTGAAGAATCTTTTCGTTTCTCCTCTTTGTTGCCACTTGAAAATGATCCATGACCATGCCCTCTTCTCACAGACACGGACTATTCCAGCTGACATGACTCAGTTCTTAGAGCTCAGTTTGCAGGTGATGGTGCTACTTTGTAACTTCACAAATTTAGAGCCATTTTATCACCACGTATTGAGGGCTAGTAATTACTTTTATATTGCACCACCCAGTGTCAGGAACATAAAAATGCATTTGACAGAAGGCAGCTTTTCCCCCTCTGTTCACTAGCAGCCTGGGTAACTTAACTCCCCTAGGCAGTATCACCACCAGGGTAGCAGCAAGGCTGTTGTGAGCGGCACATTCTCAGACGTCTCAGAGGGCAGGGCCATTCTGTAGTCTGCGTTGTGCATCTGTGCTCTGACTAGAAGATCTGTCACAGTGTAGAAAACCCCTTTTGCAGAGAAGGTCATGTTGCCACCACCTACAGTGGACAGTAACTGCATCACAGGATACCAGAGAGTCACCCGACATGGTGAAGGATGGGCAACCCTGGACTTGGTGAAGACCCAGAGACACCTGTTTACTGGTGTTAGAAAGAGAAATATTAGAAATCACACATCCTCAAGGAAGGTAAGACATCTCTTTTTACCTAACAATCAGCTGCATTATCATATTGATTTAGTGATTCAGACATGGGCCAACAGAACACTACTTTTATAAGTGAACTTTTGAAGACTTTCACATAGTAAAGCCTATATAATTACATTTCCTTTTTTTTTTCTTTTTTTTTTTTTTTTTTTTTTTTGGTGGTTCAAGACAAGGTCTCACTATGGAGCTCTGGCTGTCCTGAAATTCACTATGGAGACCAGGCTTGGCCTCAAACTCACAGACATCTGCCTGCCTCTACTTCCCAATGCTGAGATTAAAAGCACACAACATTATGCCCGGCATATAATTACATTTTTTAAGACACCTCAGAAACCAAAAATATACATATTAATACTTAGAATCATTAGGATGTGCATCTGATCAGGACCCAGATCAGAGCTCCACTGAACCTGTCTGCAATCCCTGCCACCATGGGATTCTTACTGGGACATCCACACAGACACACTGTTTTGAATGGGAGGGAATCAAGGAAAAATCAAATAACTGTCTCCCACTGAAGGACAAAAGAGTACACAAGAAGGCCTGGGGAGAATGGTCGGGGGAGGGGGGGAACCTTGCTGTTCGAGCTCGAGGACCTGAGTTCTTACCCCAGCGCCCATGTGAAAGTCAGGGGTAATGTGCATCTGCAGTCGGTGCTGGGGAGGCAGCTCTCTGGGGCTCCCGGCCAGTCGGCCTAACCAATCAACGAGTCCTAGGTTCAGTGGGAGGCCCTGTGTCCAAAAAAATGAGCTGAAGAGTGATTGAGGAAGACACGGATGTCAGCCTCTGTTCTCCGCATGAGCACACACTGACACATGGCCCCACATACATGTGTGTACACAAACTCTCCACTCAGACTACACAAGAGAAAATGAAAACAACAAGTAGTGGTAATGATGGGGTCCTTTTCAAAAGATGATCTGTTCCCACAAGTGTAGAGCTGCTCAAATAATTCTGCACTGTGTGTTGCCAAAAGGTGCAAAGCTCAAAGACAGATGTATCTCCAGGTAGGGGGACAAAACGGCCTGAGGAACAACTGACCCCGCTGTCAGTCTCCCGGTGGAGGGGAGAGATGAGAACATTGCAGAGACTCCTCTCAGACAGCTGGGTCCAGCTGAGAGCCTTGGTAACAACGGTGGCCTTCGAATTCTAACAGACAAGAACAGTTGAGGTTGTTCATGGATACCGCTGCCTTGCATACCCAAGTTCTAGAAGTATCACCATGACGGTGATATTCCATAAGACACAGCAAACAGCACCAAGTTCTAGTCTTCCTGAAGGCCTCCAAAGGAGAAACTGACCGCTGCCGGTAATAGTCGATTAGCCAGGCACAGTGGCAGGGATCACCAGTCCCAGGTATTGAAGACTAAGGTAGAAGGGTAGTTTGGGCTAGGACCAGAGTAAACAACACAAAAACCGGCAAAGACAGGAGAAAAAGATGGCTCGACACTTGCGTGCTTACTGCGCACGTGTGAGGACACACACACACACACACACACACACACACACACACGCACGCACGCACGCACGCACGCATGCATGCAACATGCTGGGTATGGCTCCATGCATGCCTGCAACCATGGAGTGGAGTGCAGACTAACTATGAGAAAAAGAAACACTAAGAACAAGAAAATAATCAAGCACAAGATTGCTGGAGCTTGCTAGCTCCCAACCTAGCCAAAAAATTTAAAAAAAAAAAACAAAAAACATGAATTCCAGGTTCAAAGAGAGACCTGGCCCCAAAGGAATGCTCTCACTCATACACACTCACACTCACACTCACACACACACACACACATACACACACACACACACACAGGCACACACTAACCCAGACACACACTTGCACTCAGACACACACTCTCATACATACTCACATATTCACACATTCTCATACTCAAACACACCAAAAAAAATCACAATGATATAAAAAATATACAGTAAACATTTCAAATCTAACATCTAGTGACCAAAAAAAATTACACTTTTGCTATTGTTTAAGCTACCATGTTTCTATGGGCCCTCCTACTTCATCTGGTAACTTCCCCGTTCCTAAGACATCAGCTCTCTTTATGTGTCTAAGACTGTACAGGCATTTTCGAAGCCTCCGAAGAAAACTCACTGAACATTACCAATGGATCACAGCTGGAGCACACAGAAGAATTAACCAGTCTGTGTCCTCTGGGCTACCTGTGCTTCATGTTAATGACTCAAACGGCTCCTGTGCAGGCTTCAGATTAATAAAGAAAATCAGCCCGAGCATCGCTCTGCTGTGACGGAGGCAGTGACAGAAAAAGTAGCGTCGTGTCTGTCACAGGAGGACAGAGTTATCTAGGCATTAACCCAGCATGAAGAAGGCATTACTTCTGGTCCCCAGAACACCCCACCCCCGGTTGTTACTTCTGATTACTGCTGCAGTGCCCAGCATCTTTCATCAGATGTACTAGAGTGGTTGGCCACGCTGTCTTCCACCTCATTAAATGATCTGTGCTGGAGCCATTTATTTCCGTTTCTCTTACATCCGTGAAATGTCCAAGAAGAGTGAGGCTGTCATTTCCTCTCAATCTTCTCAATAAAGCAGGGGTGAGAGGAAGGGAGCCTAGGACTCTACAATCACAGCTAATGCACTCCTTCCCACTCCGCCCTCCTCCTTTATTTCCACTGGGGAATCAATTTCTGACAGCATTTCCTCCGATGCTTGGGAGGCTGAAAACGATCGCCGCTTAAACCACATACTCACACAGCAAAGACAGCATCTCAAACACAGTTATTTTCTGAGCAAATGTGTTTCAAAATAAAAATGCTACAAATATAAACCCTGGCCTGGAGGCCTTAGAAAAGTCAGCAGGAAAGAAGCTATAGGTGAAAACTGAAATAATACTTTAAGGTCTGAAAAGAACAAAAAAGTACAACGGCTTCTACCTATCACCTTTTTACCTTGAATGCCCACCCACCCCAGACCCCCTCCCTACACACACACACACACACACACACACACACACACACACACACACACACACACATTTGCGTACACAGCACAAGTTCAACCAATTGCTCTTAAGAGCAATTACAAATTTTTTAAAAATCAACCTTACTTTTACAAAGCGTGCCCTAGGAACCAGTCAGCCAAAGCAACCTCCCCCTGCTGCTGCTCATTTCAAAATGAGCACCTGCTTCTACACTGGCAGGTGTCACCTGCGCTTCACTTCCTCCACGTATCCTGTTAGGTTAACATAACAAAATGAAGATGTTATGAGGTAAATCAGACTCTGAGCCTAATTCCCACAATATTAAGATTTTGGAAGAAAGGAGTCTGGAGATGTGGCCCGGTACTAAAGGGCACTGGCTGCTCTTGCAGACCACCCAGGTTCAGTCCCCAGCACCTACACGCCCCTCACAACTGTGTATACCTCCAGTTGGAGAGTTGTAGACTGTTACAGACGCCCTCTTCTGGTCTCCTCAAGCACTGCATGTGCATGGTACGCATACAGGAAAGCACATACATGGAATGATAAATGCACAATTGTTTAAAAAGATATTGAAGGAAAAAACGCCCCCAAAGCTGTTGTAATCAACTATTTAATGTGGAAAGTAAGGCATGAGTGTCAACGGAGAACAAGACCATGGGTGTAGAAATGCCCTTTTAAAAAATCACTGTTAGAAACTTTTGAACAAATATTGAAATGGATCATACTTTATCTTAAGCATACTTACTACATAGGAAACTATATTAAACATTATCCATAAATCAAAATTATATTCCGTAGACTGTATCTCATACACATGAAGCTAAAGCAGAGTTCATAAAGTTATCTAAGAGTCCCCAGGAAGGCTGCCTTCAAAAGAACTCTGGTCATGTCTGCAGGAGGATCATCCACACCATCATCGTCCTTGCTTGACATCACCGATGGCTCCCCACACGTCAAACACAAATTCGTCAGGAAAAGCAAAGTCTCCCAGAGTCTCGTCAAGTGCCACAGCAAATTCATCCGGGTTGCTTTTGTCTTTTCCAGCTTCAAACATGGTCGTGGCTGTCAATGATAATTTGTAAAGGTTAATGAGCCATGAGCCAACATCGGAGGACTGACTGTGTCCACTTATCAGATATGAAGCTGTCGCCTCTGCCCTGTCCCCAACCTGAGAGCCCATCCGTTGGGAGTCTCTACATTCGTTTGGGATTATTTTGTCCTGTTTTGTCTGGTGTGGAGTGGATGTACATGCATAGAAAGACCAGAAGGCGGCCTCAGGTGTCAACCCCCGAAATGTCATCCACCTCTTTTTGAGACTTTGCCCTCACGGGCCTGGAGCTCACTAGTTAGGCTTCGCTGGCTGTCTAGCCAGCACCAGGAATCCTCCTGTCTCCACTTCCAACAGTAAGTTTTAAAGCACACACCACCATATCTGGTATTTTGACCTGGGCTCTGTGGAGCAAACAGTAGTTCCCAGAGAAGCATCTCACTGAGTCCTCTGTGCAGCCCTGCAGCATCTGACGGCTGGAAGACACGCGATTAGAAAACCTCATGACTAACCTCACCAGGAGTGTTAGCACACACAGCCCCTCCCCTTCCCACAGTCACTAACACTCTGTCCCTTCAGTCCACCCCTACTCCCAGCTAGCTGGGTATACTCTCCCCTCACCAAAGGAACATGTACAGCTGGCCACACAGCAGCTGGATTTCGGTGGCATCTTTCTTGAGCACCTTCTGGTTTAGGATAGAATTAAGATGCTATGCATGGTCTGCCTTCCTAGAAGTGACTTACACCCTGTGTTCTATGTCTGGGAAACAGCATCCCCACAAGCACACATTCCCAGAGGACTTTCCCCAGGATCTAGAAGGCCATTTTTGCTTTGCCCTTATAAGCGCTCACAACCACAAAGCATTTTTTAATGCCACATATTACAGCTAAGTGCTGACCTCTTGTGGCCGCCCTGAGAATATTTTTATGCTCCTTTCACCACAGAACTTTGACCAACACACAGTCTCCATTAAGTTTGTAAACATTTAAAGAACTTTCAGGTGTAAAAACCAACCTACTACTTAAAATCTTTACTGTATGTATGTATTTATATGTACATGTATATATGTGTGTGTATGCGTATGTATGTATTGTATATATGGGTAGTGTGTGTGTGTGTGTGTGTGTGTGTGTGTGTGTGTGTGTGTGTTAATGGAACTCCAACTCAGGGTCTCATGTATTCCAGGTAGATGCTCTATCTATGAGCTGTACCCTTAGCCCTATAATGCATGTTTTAAAAATATTTTATTTAGTCACTATTTTTTATGTGTATGGGTGTCTTGCCAGCATGTATGTCTCTACACCATATATATGCAGTGCCTATGGGGGCCAGAAGAAGGTGGTACACGCCCTGTGACTGGATGTTACAGATGACTGTGAGATGCTATGTGGGCCAGGTCCTCTGAAAGAGCAGCCAGTCCTCTTAATCGATGAGCTGTTCCTCCAGCCTCTACAATGCACTTTTTAATAAAAATCCACTCCGGACTTCATTGATCTCAACTTAGAAGCTCTTCACAGTGTGCATTGCTTTACAGACCAAGGCAAGGACCCATGGAAGAAACATCATTAATATACCTTTCTAACCAGCTATAAAAGGTATTGTGGGGAAAATGATTTAGAAGCTGCCATTTTAATTTCCTTCCCACACATTTCTAGCCTTTTTAATAGAATAATCTTTTAAGTTCTGAAACTGCCAGAATTAGTCCAAAATCCTAAATTGGTATCAGAAAACACTGTAGGTCCACAGGTAGTTACACTGTTGCTTTAAAGCTTCCAGATGGAATATATAATGTATCCTTGAGTTAGATCACTCCAGGGGACTCAACATCTTCCAGAATTTTTATTTTACAGATAACATCTGGAGGTACCCTGTGTTAGCTTGGCTAGTTGAAAAATCACAGCTTAAATTACAACCATTGATGTACGTTCATCCTCAAAGTTATTTCCTACAAAGACTCATTTGAAGCCAGGTGGTGGTGGCCCATGCTTTTAATCCCAGCACTTGGGAGGCATAGGAAGGCAGATCTCTGAGACTGTGGCCAGCCTGGTCTACAGATCAAGCTCCAGGAAAGCCAGGGCTACACAAAGAAACCCTGTCTCAAAAAACAAAAAGAAAGAACATTCCTGAAAGCCAAGAAACACTGGCTCTGCAGAGAAGTAAAGTCATGCATTTGTCTGTTAAGTTAGGCTCACATTTCTGAGTTATATTTCATGCTAATCGTATCTGAACAACAGAAATTCCTAATTTAACAACAGCTGACATTCTTCAAATAATGACTCTTCTTACACTTTGCCTCTCTAAGTGACCAGTCACACTACTAATCATGTATGATGACAATGACTTTGTGTCAATTAAAGGAATTTGCTACAGATATTTAATTAAACTGACGAGGGACCACTGGGTGATTTTGATGGATTTTTTAGAATATTTAATGGTCTACATTTCTGAGCACAAAAGAAAATTCACTCTTCTTTTTTAAGATTCTTTTTCGAATTATATTTATTTCTTCAGTGTGTGTGTGTGTGTGTGTGTGTGTGTGTGTGTGTGTGTGTGTGTTTGGGGAGCAGACATCTGGTACACCACAGTTGTGAAGGTCAGAGGACAACTTCAACTTGCAGGAGGCAGTGCTCTCCTCCCACCATGTGGATCCCTGGGGCCAAACTTGGGTCACCAGACTTAGTGGGTAGTGACTTTACCTGCGGGGCCATCTCATCAACCCAGAAAATTTATCCTTAAAGACTTACGTCAAACTCATTTATAACCATTTGTACTATTATCCATTATTCTGCTGTACTATATTTGTATTTTTTAAGATTTAAGAGCTTGAAAGATGGCTCATCTATTATGAGCACTTATTCTTGCAGAGGATACAGGTTCAGAAGCCAGCTTTCACATGGTGGCTCACAATCATCCATAATTCCAGTTCCAAATATGAGAGGCAAGCCAGGAAGCAATAGTCCTCTATGGCCTCTGCCTCTGTTCCTGCCTCTGTTTTCCTTCCCAATCTGAGTTCCTGACTTGGCTTTCCTCAATGGATTGCAACTAATACATAAGCAAAATAAACATGAGGGATACATAAGCCAAATAAACCTCTCCAAGTTGCTTTGGTCATGGTGTTCCATCACAGCCATAGAAACCCTAACTAAGACAATACTCTAGATTGCCATGTAAGAAATTGAATATCCATGATGCTACCATATTTTAAGCAAACCTGGGCCATGCAGATACCACACACAAATGCTATGGCACATGGCCCCAGCTGATATCCCAGGAGACTAATAATAAACCTCCAAACAAATAGGATTCCAGGTGGTTCTGGCCTTGGTTGTAAGAGGCCAGTCATCTTGTCACCCCAACTGAGATCCAGACAATACTGAGCAGAGACAAGTGGCTTCCACTGTGCACTTCAGTTCCGTACCATGGAAGCTCTAGATATAATACACTGGATGTATCATGTAGATCCCTTTTAGAGTAGTTTGTTTTGCAAATATAGGAACCAGAACAGCACCGTAAGATAAGAAGTCATATTTTCAGTTTTCAAACTAGAAAGGGGAGAACTTAAGTAATAAACCAAGGTCACAGAAAAGCAAGGCAAGAACTCAGAAACAGATATATCTGATGATAAAACCACATCTGTAGTCATCCTACCACACTAGTTTTCATGCAGACTTCCCTACCTCTATATCTCTTCCTGATAATACTTCCCCAACCAAGCACAGTGTGCACATAGAATCTGCTTCCCTGGGACCAAATCATCATGCAAGGTCTTACTAACTCCACCCTCATCCATAAGATTCATGCCTACACTGCAATGGTTAGCAATTTCTCTGTCTTCTAGTGGTCATGGGGTTGTTTTCCTCCAACTGGACAATTAATGCATACTAGTGATGCTAATTCATAATTGGTGAATTTGTTGTTTTCCTTATGTATGTGCAGCCCCTGGTTGTCCTCCTGAATTGTGTTCCTAGATTAAGGCTGAACTGTAACTGTGTACAGGATTACAGCAGGTAACATATAACTGTGAGGTGGAGTGAGCACAAAAGAACAAAACCGATATGGAGTATGTTGTTGCAAGAAATAAATGTCAAGTGTAAATGTACTGGTCACCACCTAACTTCAGCCCATGACTTTCTTCAGGGCATAAATCACCACCTTACATGTTACATGTGTGAATGATTCTTGCCTCTCATTAAAACACAAGATCTCTAGAAGCAAAAATCATAATAATAATTCCAGTTCCAGGGGATCTAATGCTCTCTTCTGACCGCTGAGGGCATCAGGCATACACATGGTGCACATAAATACATGCAGGCAAAATACTTATACACATAAATGAAATAATTGTTTAGAGATTTGTTTTATTTGGGGGGCTGGAGGGATGGCTCAATGGTTAAGAGCACTCAAGTTCAATTCCCAGAACCGACATGACAACTCACAACCACCTGTAATTCTAGTTCCAAGAGCTACTATGGCCTCTTCAGGCTTCCATGAGCACCAGTTTATTTTATCTCTATTTATTTGAATGTATGTTTGTGTGGTGAGTACAGGGTATATGTGTGTGAGTGCAGTACCCCTAGAGGCCAGAAGAGAGCGTCAGATCCTCTGGAGCTAGAGTTACAGTGGTTGTGAGTCACTCACCATGGGTACTTGGAAAGCAACCCACATCCTCTGGAAGAACAGCAAGCAGCTTAACTGCTGAACCATCTCTCCAGCCTCCATATCTGCATTTTAATAATAATTAGTTCTGACTTATATAACTATGAAAAGTTCTAGTGTTGAAGACAGCCCTGAGGTCCTACCTTGAAAGCACTGTTCTCCTGTATTCTAGCTCATGATCCAAGAACGGATTTGAATCCCGAATCCTACCCTGTTTGCCATTACCTGTAGCTTCTCGGCTGAAGACTGATGTATGATATCACTTTCCAGCAAACACTGCCTAGTCCGTATTTCTCAGGTCCCTGCCCTCTCTAAACCCTCTTACCCCTATTTCCATGCGTCTGAATTACCCCCGCAAGCCTGTGTCATGTATCTGAATCCCAGAATTCCCCCCAAATGTAGGTTCTAGAGATGAGGTGACCCTGGATGGATGTACACAGGACAGTCTTAACACTACCTTTCTCTCCTCCGACCATGCCCACCTGGGGTTCTGCTGTGTTGGAATATTCATTTCTTTCCCTAGATTTGGAGGATTTTCTCCTACACTGACTAGATTTTCTGTTCCTTTGGTCTTTAATCTCAGCTCATTTGTCTGCCCCATGGGTTCTCAGGTTTGGTCTCTTGATCATGGTCCAGAGATCTTGGAAGCTTGTGGGCTTGACTGCCCAGTTCTCTTCTTCACTGGTATGTAAGTGGGAGATGTGTTGACCTAGTCTTCCGGTCATGGAGTCTTTCCTTTGTTTGATTTAGTTTATTGATGATGCCGTCTGCTGTGGTTTTGTGCATTTGTTGTTGTTGTTGTTTTGTTTTGTTCTTATGATTCACTGAATTTTTCATTTCAGTACTTCTTTTTGTTTGTTTATTTGTTTGGTAGGATTTTGAGACAAGGTCTCACTGTGTAGCCCTGGCTGTCCTGGAACTCACAGAGACCCACCTGCCTCTGCCTCCTGAGTGCTATCATTAAAGGAGTGTGCCATAGCACCTGGCACATTTCCCTTCCTTTTTACTGACTTTCTTTTCTACACTCAAGATTGATTTTCTTACTTCATTTATCTGCTTTTATGTATCTTTATGGATCTTGTGTGAAGTCCCTGGTCGTTTTTACAAGTAAGCTCTTAAATCCTTTGCCTGACATTTTACCCATTTTAGTTAGTATCTTTGAATTCAATTGCTGCAGATTTATGATCTTTTGACTAGCTGAGGAGTTACATTGCCTTGCTTTCTATGTTTCTTGTTTTTCTGTGTTGAGAGGTGTGCATCTGTGGGTTGTACATCTCATGCAGTTTTATCTGGGATCTTAGTGAGCAGCCTGCTCTTAAGGTTCAGTCCCAGCACCGCTCGGAGAGGAGAACACAAATTACTCAAAGAGCAACAACAGCAACCAAACAAGATACAGCGGTGCACTTAGATTAAGACCTATACTATATCACCAGTTACCATGAAACAGACTGTGAGATGAGGTTAAAATTATTCAAGGTTGATGTAGAGACAAAAACAAGGAAATAATAGGGTAGGGAGGGGGTGGGGCAGAAGAGCCCCAAGTAAGGAAACCAAGAATGAATGAGAATGTTATAAGGGGAAAGTTGAGGGAAAACTTTTATTAAAAAACAAAAGTCAAAAGGAAGTCACCTAATAATAATAATAAAAATACATAAACAAAATCAGAGAAATGATAGAAACATAAAGCTTTTAGAAATAAGATAAAGTAATAACAGTATACTGGAAGCATGATAAAAAGAAAAATAGAAAACAAAGAAGAGGAAAATAGATGGAATGTTAGTGTCTTCTCCTGAATCCTTTAAAACTGCAGTAAGTCAGGTGGCCCTAGGGGCCAGGGCAGCTGAACTTGTAGATTCTTGTCTCTCTTCATTTATGCCACTTCTATGCCTGTGTGGGTCACATGGCAGCTGTCCCCAACTTGTTGTGGAATATTCCTTTATACTGTATAAAATATGTCACTCTGATTGGTTTAATAAAGAGCCTAATGGCCATTAGCTAGGCAGGAAGAGGTTAGGTAGGACTTCCAGGGACAGAGAGCTCTGGGAAGAAGAAAGGGAGAATCACCAGCCAGATGCTAAGGAAGCAGGATGGGCAGTACAGAGTAAAGGTAACTGAGTCATGTAAAGAACATAGATTAAAAGATATGGGTTAAGTCATAAGAACTAGTTAGGAACAAGCCTAAGCTAAGACCAAGGTTTCATAACTAATAATAAGTCTCCGTGTAGTTTTCTGTGAGCTGGCAGCCCACAGAAAAATCCTCCTATCCTAACTGCCTTCCCTTCCGTGGCTTCTTTGCGTGTGAGGGGCTTCTGCTAACTACATTTAGCTTTGCATTCTGTGGGGCAGGCAGGGGCTGCTGTGGCCCCCCAACCTCTCAGTTCATACACCATGGCGTTACTAAAGTTCCAAATGAGGGAGCATCTCCCAAATGTGTTAGCAGTCAGAAAAGTAAGCACAACTCTGTGTGGGCAGACATGTCTCTGAACTTTTAAAAACCCTCTAAACCACAGGGCATGGTGGTACATGCCTTTAATCCCAGCACTCAGGAGGCAGAGGCAGGCGGATCTCTGAGTTCGAGGCCAGCCTGGTCCTCAGAGCGAGTTCCAGGACAACCAGAGCTATTACACAGAGAAGACCTGTCTCGAAAAACTAAAAGAAAAAAAAATTTTTTTTTAAATCTCTAAGCCTTAAACACCCTGAAGGGGAAGGGAGGCTGCCAGTGCCAAGTGTCTCGTTGGAGCCACAGAGTTCCCCATTCCTGTGGCAGCCCCAGGTGGCTCAGGGTTGATCAACCTTCCGGCATCAGGGTCAGGGCTCTTAGACTCCAAAGTCATTGTTGGATAATGAGGCCAGCTCCCAGACACTGGGCATGGGACCGCATCTCCTATAACTTCACTGCCATCCTCCCAGTCTCTGAATACCTCTTCTGGCTGTATGTCATCCAGGGCTGTAGTAGATTGACTTAGGGCTCCCTGACCACTAGAGCGTGGGCCTACTGCTTGAAGTGGATAGATGCAGCAGCGTGGGAGAAATCAGGCCACACTGTGCTGCAGCCAGCCCCTTAGAACAAAGATCAATTCCCTGCTGCTGAGACTGAGAGGGTACTCCAGTCTGGATGAGGGGTGGCAAGCCGGTCCCTCCCACTACAACTGCAAGATAAGTCTAGGGTCCTGACTAGTACTATCTCCATAACAGGAATTTAGCAGACGAGGCCTAGTTAAGTCACATGGTATGGGACTTCCCACCACACCCCTGAAAAGCTATGAGACACAAACACACACACACATACATACATACATACATACATACATACATACATACATACATACATACATACGTGCACACCAAAAGTAAAGAATAAAAATACTCTGAGAATCTTAAGCCTCTTTCCTTCAGTTCCTCATCCTGAAATACACTACAAGGTGGCCACCTCTCCTAACGCAGCCCCTCTCTGGACCTGCAGCCTGCACACCCCTCCCCAGCTCCTAATAGAACATTTTCTGAAGGGTAATCCTATGTCGGCTCCTTTCTGCTGAACCTGCCACTTCCATTTTTAATTTTTTTGTAATTTCTAACACTGACTTGGGATTGTCCTTTATTCTCAGAGCCCAGGGTGGCTCAATTTTGAATAACCACCTCTTAGAGTAGCGGCACCCAGCCACAGCCCTCTGAGACATGGGGAGTGGCACAATAGACCTCTTCCTCAAGTGTTGGGGGGTCACCGTCTCATCAATTGTGTCTGGGGCATGCGGGCTCCGCGGCTTTTCCTGGGCGGCTCGCCTTACCTCCCTGGAACCACCCAGCCTTAGCTCCGCGCTCTTTCCTTCTTTGTGCTGAGCCACCTTTCTGTGTACCCACCGGTCAGCTGCCCTGTCTCTCCCTGTATGGATTTCCCACTCCTTCTCTCCTATAAGAGTCTGTTCTTTGTTATCCCAACTCCTCACTGCACAGAGGCAGCTGCTCATGCACACTTTGTCCGCATTATCTCCGGAGGTACACATCTGGTCTGCATTATCTCCGGAGGTGCGCATCTGGTCCACATTATCTCTGGAGGTGCATGTCTGGCATTCTTTGGTTTGCATGTGAATGTTGCAGCTGCACCGTCTGTGTGCAGTGCCCTTGGAGGCCAGAAGAGGGCATCAGAACCCCTGGAACTGGAACTGTAAGTGCTTGGAGCTGCCGCAGGCGCGCTGGGAACTGGAACCCAGGAGAGAGTGCTCTTCGCTTCTGAGCCGTCTCTCCAGCGCCCAGATTTCCCCATTTTTGACGTCAAGACCCATGTCTGGATTTTTCGGTTATAAAAACCATAAATTTCTCCTATTTTTTCCTCCTTAATACAGTTGGAAATAAGGTTTTTTGTTTTCATTTTGTTGTGCACTATTTGCTACTGGTAGAGTTTTAGTTGATAAAGCAAGAACCTGACACATTCGTGGTAGCACAAGAAACAACAGGAAACACCCAGCAGCCCACTGCCGAGTCACTCTTACTCATGAGTTCTGTGTCTTTTTCTTCCTATTTCAGGAATCCTACTAAATGGTGTACAACTTTGATATCATAAGACATAATTTAACCAATAACCAATATAAATGTGGCCCATCAGATAAGAAAACTTTTCATATGCATCATTTAGCTATATGTTTTCATGAATATTTTAATGCAGGAAATAGGATAAAGGTGGTATTATTCACAGTGTCTAGATTAAAAGTTACATTTTTTGTTTGGTTTTTGATATAGGGTCTTTTTATTATGTAGCTCTGGCTGTCCTGGAATACACAGTGTAGACCAGGATGGCCTTGAATTTACAGAGATTCACTTGCTTCTGCCTCCATAGTGCTGAGATTAAAGGTGTGTGCCACCATGCCACGTTTAGCTAAAATTGTAAAAGTTAACAGCAGTAATACCCCCCAGCAAGAAACTTGGTAAATCACTATTCGTTACTATTTTTATGCTCTTTCGTACTCCAGAAATCCTTTTCATCTTGAAGAGTACAGTTGGCTACCGTCTATAAACAACATGGAAATTATCACTAAGAGTGTGGCCTTACCCAAGTCAATATCTCGAATTCCCATGTACAGTTCGAGGAGATCGTCCACCTTTTCGATCGCCTTTGCTTTGGCTTCAGAGGGCTTTAAAAAGAAAACAAGATGTTGCATTTACAATAAAGTCTCTTGACTCTCAGGGCACACCCAGCAGGAAATCTGGTCCATTAGCTGATTTTAGTGGATGTATCTGAAATATACCTTACAACCTTATAGCTAAATGCAAATCAATACAGTAAATATATAGCAATGGTGTCAGCATTAAATATTATGGATTCAAGGGAGGAAGAGAGGAAGAAAGGGAGGGAGGGAGGAGGAAGGGAGAGAGGGGGAGGGAGG